TTTATTTTATTCAAAAAAAAAAAGTTTGGTTGATCTTTACAATATGGTAACTGGTAGTTTGGCGACATTTTGGAGGCGATAAAGGTTACTACCTGGGACTTTGGTAATAATGTGAGCAGTACTCAGTTCCGATTACGCATTATTTTGCGTGAGGGAAATGAGAGATCATGGGATATGTCATGTGATATTAATGGACGAATTACGGTTCTTTAATCGGAAAAGGGGAAAAATCGGGAAAAAATGTGGAAATTTTGTATTTAGCTTTATTCTGTGTTGTGTGAAACAGTGTTGTTTAATTTTTGGATCCCATGGCCCTAACTAAAGTGAATTCAAAATGGGTATTTAGGCATTGTGATAATAAAGAGAAGTTTTTGCTTTTTATTTAGCAGAGGAAGTATGGAGGAAAATTCGCAGAAAAAATCTTTCAATAATTTTATTGAATGAATTAGAAAAGTGTATCCGCCACGTAATCAAGACTCTGAAGAAGATTAGGTAAGTTAGTATTTTTAATTATTTGAGGATATTATTTTTATGCATTGTTCTAAACGTAAGGTGGAAAGGAATTTGGTATTATTGGGAAAATTGTTATTAGCAATAATTTAGTTTAAAGTAATTAGGATTGTAAGGTAATTTTTATTAATTTAATGTATGTGCTCATTTATATTTTAAGTAGTGTTTTTGAATTTAATTATATTTTAATGAAATTATAGTTATTTTGTGAATTTTATGTTTGTAGGAATTTGGTATACGTTTTAGTTGAAGTAATGTTGTTGTTGTTGTATTTAATTATGGCAAAGCACACTGGGGCTATCTGCCTAAGGGGAGGGATGCCTTCGTGGAGGACTTTCTAAGGAAAACTGGCTCGTATACACGTTACACATGGGGGAAAACTACGAAAACGCCCATGCAGCCAGCCCGTTGGCGGGATTCGAACCTCGGACCGAACTACCAGTGTTCAGCGACGTTACCGCTCGGCCGCTGGTGGGCTTAGTTGAAGTAAACATGCATGGAAATAATTTAAATATCTGACACTAAGTATTTGTAATGGTTGCGGTATGAATTCGTTGGTGACGTTTATAATATAATAGATGATTTAGAGGTAAAAGTTTTTGGATATTTTATTTATTTTATATGTGGAAATGTTCATATTTGTAAAGGGTAAATACTTTTTCGCGACCAGGTAATTTCATATATGTTCTTTCTACCGGGTTTAAAGATTGAGAAAATTGTCATGTATTTTCGTGAAATTTTTCTAATTTATGAGAAAAAAGCAGTGTACGTGGATATAGTGAAGAGTGTGCGCAATACCATTTTTGTGCAATTCTGGAATGTTTTTTTAAGTAAAAATAAGTCGACGTGTACATGGTTTAGTGATATTTTAATTAAATGATAGTTATTTTGTGAATTTTTTATGTTTGTAGGAATTTGGTATACGTTAAGTTGAAATAAACGTGCATGGAAATAATTTAAATATTTGAGACTAAGTATTTGTAATGCTTGCGGTATGAATTCGTTGGTGACGTGTATAATGTAATAGATGATTTTAGAGGTAAAAGTTTTTGGATATTTTATTTATTTTATATGTGGAAATGTTCATATTTGTAAGGGTAAATACTTTTTCGCGATCAGGTAATTTCATATATGTTCTTTTACCGGGTTTAAAGATTGAGAAAATTGTCATGTATTTTCGTGAATTTTTCTAATTTATGAGAAAAAAGCAGTGTACATGGATATAGTGAAGAGTGTGCGCATGCCATTTTTGTGCAATTCTGGGATTTTTTTTAAGTAAAAATAAGTCGGTGTGTACATGGTTATGTGTATGTGTTATTTTGAAAAACGCATAAGGAGTATGGTATTGTGCACTTTTTTTCCAAATTTGCAGTGAATATTTGTCATGATTAAGCAGTTTGTTTGATAAATTTCTAGCATAAGTGTAATTCGGCTAGTAGATTGTTGGAAGAAGTGTTCAGTAGATAAGAAGAAAAGAAACATGTCTTTACTTCGTGAAGACAAAATGGCGGCGGGGAAAAAAAATAGAGGGTTGTTGTAGGAGAGTTGGTTGCCAAATTTTCGCCAAGTTACCATAATGTAAAGATCAACCAAAAGTTTATTTAACATGTAGAGTTCCATAAGAAAAAATCATGTATAAAAACTATAAAATATGCAAATACAAACATTATTTTGTATTATAAAATATACAAGACATGCAAGTTATAGAATATACAAGTGATGCAATATTTCTATCATTAAATAATCAGGTTATCTCAGTTCATGAAAATTTTGTGTGCATGAAAAGTAATTTATTCAATAGTAAAATTCTAATTTACTATAAGCATTGCACAAATGATAGATATATGTAACTACTAGTTAGCTGATAACATAATATATTTTATAAAAAATAACAGGATATAACTACATAAGTTTTCAAGGAAGAAATATCTGTGTCGTTAATGAAGCTACAATAATTTATAGAAATGATAAAGTGAATTGCATAGATATATATAAATAAAATTTTACAAAATAAAATAAATTACATACATAAATAAAATTACATAAATTATATATAAATAAAACAAATAAAAGTATGGTATATTACATCATAACTTCAATTAATGAGCAGTTCATTCAAGACATAACAAGCTCTGTTTGTGAAACAGAATGCAGACAAATTCCATCTGAATATAAAAACTGTAAATTACTCAAAGAAAGAAATCTCAATGCAGTTGGTAATTTGCTTACTGCCCTTTAAACAATACCAGTTTTGTGAATTTCTGTCGTATTTTCTGTTTGTGTAGAAAAAGGGTGTTCTGTTTTGCTTCATAATGAAGCCGTATATTTATGTAATGCATAGCAATGCATTTGACTAAATAGAATAGATGATTATGCTCGGGTTCAGTATCCAGAGCATGATTTTTTAAACTTTCAAAGATGTTTACATCAAGACATTTAATTAAAACATCTGTAATTATAGTTTCGACTTTAGAAGTATTAATTTCTGACAGAGGATACATATTCAAATATCTTCTGAAAAGTATCTCAGTCTCTTTACATATTTTAATGGTATCCCAAGAAGGAAATATAAGTCCTCCGCTAGATTTTATATCTATCAAGTTTTCCAATTTTTTTCTGATGAATAAAGTGCTTCAATGCATTTAGAGCAGAGAAAATTGTTTTGTTCTGTTTTCCGAACAATAAAACCCGCAATATATGCAATAGTTTCTTCTAAATATTCACTAGGCCGGAAATATAAAGAAAGACAGTAATCATGTTCAGCCAATATATTATCATTATGAGTTGTTTCTTCATTTTCTAATATGAAATTTCTTCGGCTACTTTTATTTATGCCTTCTGTTGGATTTTTGTGTGAAGAACATACAAGGATTTTATAGTTTTCTATTGCCGAGCAATTTCCATTTTTATTAATTTCTAGTTCTTGATGAACAAGAATTTTTTTTTTTTTTTTTTTTAAAGCAGAAATGAATTGCCTGCAAGTTGGATTATTTATTGCAGCCAAATTTTGATCTTATATACCCAAACAGAAGCTCTATGTTATCTTGATTAAATTTGTACAATGGTATATACTTCAGTTCTTCTTTCTTTACTAATTTTTCGAAACACTCCCTTGCTACTTTCAATACAGATTAAAAATCCTAAAAAAACCTGTTTTTCTGTTGCTAAGTACTAGAGGTGTTTTCTCTCTTCCAGAAAGGTTTTCAATGTAAAACTTTGCTTCGCTGAAGAATTGTAAAATTAGTGGAATAATTTTCAGTGCACATTGCTTTTTTATAGGAAAGCCTGGTGAATACTTCTGGAATTTAAAATATCGAATAGCCTATTAAATAATTTGATGAATCGTATTGTGCCTGATGCATCTTGAAAAGCCATGAATTTCTTTTTCTAAACAAAACTGCAGAGCATCACCTACTGAATCACTAAAAAGTTGTGCAGCTAAATTTACTTTCATTGGTTGTTTTTTCCAAAATACATGGTGCCGTTTCAATTTATTTGCCAAATGAAGGCCCTCTTCTTCTTGTAATTTATTTAAATTAACTATGTGTTCCCACTGAATTATTTTATGTTCATAGTCAATTAGAACACCTTTGTCCCCAAAAGTATTTCTTACCAATTTTAAAGCATGGCAAGGATCCAGGAAGAAATATATGGGTTGCTGTGTTGTGGGATGGAGGAAGAAAGTTTTAAAATCATCCAATTCAAAACTGCAGCCTAGATTTTTCATCATTGAGAAATTTGAAACGGCACCATCACATGTCAGACTAACAATATTAACATTTGCTTCACTTAACCATCTTAAGCAATTAAGAATAACTGATGCACGCTGCTCTCCACTTAATCCAGCTGTAAAAAAGTAGCCTACTGGAAGCTTCCAGTTACTATTAATACAATTTACCAATAGTACAAAAACTTCTTTTGCAACAGACCTTTCGTCACCATCTAAATGTGTTCCAATATCAATATATCCAACATACTGTTCACCATTCCATTCTACATGTTGTCGAATTGCCATTTCGTCAACAATTAATGAACAAAAATACTGGATACTGACTTGTTGAACTTTTTGCTTTCAAAGCTGCTAAAGCTTCTTTGCAGAATCCTGGTGATGCATCTAAACTTTCATACCATTTAGAAATGGTACGTGGATGTGGTAACCCAGTGTCAAATTGCTTTCTGACGTAACAGTATGCTTTGGGTGACAAGAAATTTAAAGTTAATGCAAAAGAACGAAGTTGGGGGGAGTATTTGTTATGTTTTTTCTTAAGACGTAAATTAATTTCTTTGGAAATTTCTGGAATGTTATTCAAAAGTTCATAGTACTCATCTATAATTAAAATTTTTATTTTTCAATTCGAGTAGAATATTTTTATACGAAAGCAATCGCTTTTGTAAGCGTCGTTTTGTTTGTTGCAGCCCTTTAACTTGAATTTTTGCCTTCTTGAGTTGCAAAGAAGTTTTCGTCAGTTTTACTTTCAACGTTTTTTTTACAGGAGAATCTTCTGTATTACTGCATGTTTCATCAGCTATGAATTCTCTAGTTTCTGAGTTGGCAGGAGCAGGTCTCTTAAATGGAACTTTCTTAGTCTGTGGGAAAAAAAAAAAAAAAAAAAAAAAAATTAGCACTGAAATACTTACGTACATTAGAACAGCTTATTTAACATCTTATTGATCTAAATATATACAGTGAATCGTCTCTTGAGATAATTAATAATCACAGTGGAGGTGATGTTCTACATTTATGTTCTTATATTCGCAGAAGTAATGATTGCGCTAATCGCTATGACAAAGCGCTTAAAGCTAATGCCTTAACAATTTCTGTAATTTTAATATTTTTTTATTTGTAACATACATTATTCCTTTTGCAGTATAAAGAGGGAAATCTACAAATATTAAGTATTAAAAAATATATATGTTCATTTATCAGTTACACAGTAGGACATTGATTATTTGAATGCAGTTTTAAAAAATTTTTGGCCTCTCAAAAATTAAATTATTTTTAAAAATCTTTTTAAAAAGTAAGGTTTAATAACATAGAGTTTCACACTGATTTAAAAAAAAAATCTGAATCCATGCATTCAGAGAGAAATATATTAATGAAAATTAGTTGCTACAATAAATTAAAACATTTTGCTAAATACGAAGTTTTGGATTACCAATATATATCAGCCATTGAGGGACTCGTCACCAGAAATGCTTTTCAATGTTAGAGCGGGGAACTGATTTTACATCCAAGAGAATGGAGAAGACACATCTCAATTTTGAAGGAGAACACCCCGGGGAATGAATCAAAGAGTCTTCTTTTGTAAAATTAATGAATTATGATAATTTTATTTTAAAATGAAACATAAGAAGGAAAAAACCTTTTGCTATAAAATATATTTTAAATGCTTATTTTATCCACTAATTTAATCTCGTATTCTTTCGAAAAAAGTCTCTGAAGAGCACACTTCTAAGATAAAGAAAGAAGAGTAAACTTATTTTATAAAAAATTGAAAGGTAAAAGCAGTTTACTGGAATAGAGAACAAACATATACTATTGAAAGTGTTTGAAACTGAGGGGGGTGGGACAGTAATGGTGATGACAGATGAAGAATCAAAATTTATGTACAGAAACTGGGATATGGCATGACAATTTCAATGCAAACAAAATAATAAATCACAGCAACCTATAGATGTAAGAACTGTGTGTGTGTGATTATGGCAAAGCCTTGAGGGCTATCTGCCTAAGGAGAGGGATGTCTTCGTGGAGGACTTTCTAAGGGAAACTGGCTCGTACACACATTACACATGGGGAAAACCACGAAAACGCCCATGCAGCCAGCCCGTTTGTGGGATTCGAACCTCGGACTGAACTACCACTATTCAGCGACTTTACCTGCTCGGCCGCTGGTGGGCACAGAGTCGTAGCTAGGGTTTTCAGCGCCCGAGGACAACTGAAGATTTCGCGCCCCCTACTGCTTGCCAGGATGGAAAACATTTAATTCTAAAATGTCGTAACATCAGTTTGGCGTCCCTTGGATTCTGCGCCCGGGGTATAGATGTCCCCCTTGCCCCCCTCTAGCTACGCCCCTGGGTGGGCAACAGATGTAAGAATAAATAAGCTTGTAATCTTGAATAGCTATCAAATGAATATTATATGTCGACTTTAATATTTAAAAGAAATTTTACAAACTTGTAACAGATTATTAATTCCTCCCTGCCCTCCAAATCTCGCAATGCACAAAGAAAGAAAGTAAAAATTAAAAATTCCTCAAAGGTTTTATTTCTGAATTTGCAAGCAGATGTGAGAAACCGAAGCACTAGCCTTACCAGTGGTAGACAGTTATTTAATTAGAAGAGGACTGTTCATAATATATCACTAAATCATATACAAACATTCTTTAATATTAAGTTTAGAATTTAAATAACAAAAATCAGTGATTTTGTTTGAATTCTAAATTAATACTTGATTGGTGTGTTTAAGTTAATTATGCTTTAATATTATTAAAAAATAAAACACATCCTTATATACCTTTTGAACTTTCTGCAAATAAGATGGAAATTCTTTAAAGATGCTCGGAACAACACCCTTTTTAAGCGTTACAAGGTGGCTAGCGTATCTTTTATTGGAAATCCTCTTCTTTAAAATGTTCAGAACAGAGAAATGCATTTGCAGAAGGATTCCAATCTTTACGCCGTATTGCCTGAATCCATGCTTCTCTTAACGTTGGATCTTTAGGAATTCTGAAAAAGAAAAATCCATATGTTGAAGAAGTATAAAAATAAATGTTTTAAAACAATCTAAAATCCAATTTTTAGTATAGTACATGATAGATTAATATAGTACATGATGCAATACAGAAATGGCATATAAAATTACCAAATAATTTTAGTGCATAAATAAATTAAAATTTTTGATTAATTAATGCAAAGCATACACAGCTATTTGCTTATGAGACAGATGCCTTTGTGGAAGGCCCTTTTTATGGTATGTGATTCATATTCATGCAGTATGTGAGATGTTGAGTTTTAAATCTTGGCGTAAGTACAACAATTATCAATGAGCCAATGGTGAGCAATAGTAGCTTTAGGAGGGGTGAAATATAGCCCCACGACAAAAAATCATTCGAACAGCAATCTTTGGTGAAACATTCTAAATACAAAATAGAACATTCTAAATTCTAAATACAATTCTAAATTCTAAATAAAAAATAAATTCTAAAAAGCAAACTATGTTGGTGAGTATCATAAATTTAATCATGATCTAAAACCTGTAAGAGGGAAAAAATTTTCAACATTCTGAAAATTAAGATAGTCAAATTCTTAAAGATTGATTCTTTTGAAATATGGATAATTTTACAAAATGTTTAATGCTAACTTCTCACATAATTCAACATAATTTAAACTTAACTCACATAGTATATGAATATGAATCAGTTACTCTAAGAAGGCCTACAAACTACAAACGCATCTGTCTCCTAAGCAAATAGCAGTGTATGTGCATTAATTATTCAACAATTTTTAATTAACATTTCTGTCAGGATGGAGATTACTAAAGGGAACCCGAAGAGAGTGGTTCTTTTATATGGTACATAAAAATATTTATGGTACACAAGTGCAAGAACCAGTTATAATTATTGTACTATACCCTCAGTTATTTTGGTCATATGCAGACAAAGTACTGTTTCCACTTAACTATGATTTATTTATAGGTTTCAAATAATAATTTAATATTATAAAATCATACAAATTATATTTTAAAGTTCTAGGAAAACCGATTTATTATGAAATGTATGAACAAGGTTACATTCTTTTTTGTTATTTATTTCAAAAATTGGATTTTTTAAAATAAATAATTTAGAAATTATGAGCAAATTAACTATAACTCATATTTATATTTCGGTCATGTAAGGCAACTATAGCCACATATCTTCCCCGCATTAAATTACTGGATTCTGTAAAAGTACTAATATATAAAAAAGGTAAAAGTTAGAAGCATAAATTTATTACCAAATAACATGCTTTGAATTTTGTCAGAAAAAATGCATATATAAATGCTTAATCATTACTAGCGGGAAGTTATAATGCTTCCATATATGACTGTTTTGCATATAGGTGCAGAGAGAAAAACATAACATTCATTTTACAGTATAAAGGTAATTAAAGAGCATTGCTCATATCCTGATAATCATTAGAATTGATACAATTATCAGCACTTGCAGCCGTTTCCTTGGATATGTTTTAAACATGCACAGCAAATTTTTATCTAACTTTGAGCAAAGTATAATTAAATAAATGATAGTATATATGTTAAAAGAATATTTACCTGTGAAATGTAATACCGGATCCTGCTATTCTTCTATTTGTACAGCCGAAAGCAACGCAGGAATTTACCATTCTGGCAGGAATAAAAATTGTTTCTCGGAACAATATTGCAGCCGTCTACAAGATGATAGAAAATGTAGAAATAAAATGAAATGGCGGGAAAAAGTGAAGGAAAAAGCGCGCGAAGAATCCACGGTCTTTAATTTACAAAACTGGGTGTGGCTAGGTTCTGCCTCATTGGCTGAAGAGCTCGTCAATCTTTCTAAAACCACGACTACTAAGGGCATGCTTTCCCCCCCTTTTTGGCTTCACTTGGACTGCGCGCAGGGCATCTCCATGTATTCTAACCTCCTTGTTTCTAGCGATGCAGTTCAAACTTGTTTACATTGCGTCTATGAAGCTTTTCTTTCTTTACATAGACGTTCTTTGCTCCGACGTCACCAGAATGTATCTCATGGAAGGAATGTAGCTAACATATCAAGCTACGGTTTGGTTTATTTGATTACGGCAAAGTACTCGTGGGCTATCCGCCTAAAGGAAGGGAAGGGATGCCTCCGTAGAAGACTATCTAAACGAAACTGGCTGTATAAACGTTACGTATGAGAAGAACGCCAAGCAGCCAGCCCATAACCCTGGATTCGAACCCGGACCGAACTACTGTAGGACTACAAACATATTAAAAAGGTCTAAACATGTTTCAATATTGATAGTTTCATCCAACAATAACCAAATAAGTACAATAATAAATTCACCCAAAAATAACAATAATAAATCCAATAATAATATAATAAGTCTAAAAATATTAATAGTCTCATCTAATGGTAATATAAAAAAAAAACAATAATTTAAATTTACGCCTATAAAACATTTTTTTAGAAATTTTACTAAACGAAATTATCATTACTATAATTTTTATTCCAAACGGTTGCTATGGTGACATTGAAAAGAATTGTTTATCAGAATGCTAGTCTGATGGATGGATTGAAATGCATTAAAAATCACCGAAAAATGAAAATAATTGAAAACATATCAGATAATAAAATTGTGTCAGTAGTATTGACAATATTAGCCCAAAGGGTGTTAGCCCTGAAGGGATGTTAATTTTGTTTTGGCATTTTGCGTTGGTTCACTATAAATGTCGGTTCACTTTTCAAGTTGTTACCACCTAATATTAGAACCGTATGTTATATTTAAAGAAATTAAATATTGAAAAATCTGCATAAATGTATGTATGTATGTATGTATGTTTCTCTCACTGTGATAAAACAACAGTACCTAGAGCCATCAAATTTTGAATGATTCAATCTTCCACTGAATATGGGCATCTGGAAGCCCAAATTTGGAATTTAAAATTTGTTTCATTATCGATTTCATATTTTGTAACACTTTAACGAATTTTTCATTAACGAACTCAACGATTTCAAAGCGAGCAATGGCAACACTATAGGACAAAAAAAAAAAAAAAAAAAAAAAAAAAAAAAAAAAAAAAAAAAAAAAAAAAAAAAAAAAAAAAAAAACCTTTTATCTCCAGTGCGCGAAACTGCGTATCGGAAATTCTCAAGATATGCTCATGCGATATTACTGTTGAATTGATTTTTATGGTTAAGTGCGAAGAACATGATATTTAATAAATAAGGGTAGCAAAAACAACTGCCCTTTGGGCGTAATGTAAAATCTGAAAGCTTTCAGATTTTATTTATTTATTTTATTTTCAATCATTTCTATTTGGCGACTACACTACCAGTGTTCTGCGATTTTATTGCTCGGTCGCTAGCGAGCCCGTGTGAAGTTACAAGTTCCAACTTTTCAACAAAAAATATGTCAAATAAACTTGGATGAAATATTGCATAGTTAACGCGTTATTCAGAGAGTAAATTAAAAAATAAAAATTTGGGTGATTGGTATGTTTTATCGGAAGGCGAAGATTTGGATCGGAAGAACTAAAAATTATACTTCTTTTGAAACAAGCTCTGGGGAGTGTTCAGAGGTTGCGGTATTTGGCTGTTTTAAAAATTAGAGTTGCTAGACACAGGAACCTCTTAATTCAGCGAATCCGTTCGGTTCGGAAATGCATTTTTAGCCCAAATTAAGTTCTTCTTTCCTCGTAACACTATAATAATATTCGTGAGCACACCTGCATTGCATACAACCCATCCTCTTTTCAGAACTATTCATTCCCTCAAGTGTTATCCCCCCACTCATATTTTGACCCCATATGGCTTGTCAGTTCAGTATACGATTGTTCGAAAGCCTGGGGAAAAATTTTTGCATGAATAAGTTCAGAATATAAGATCATCGCATCTAAAAATTTAGTTTGAAATTATAAATGTGCGTTATACAGGTAATTATAAGTAAAGCTCCGATTTGAAAACGCTCTAACTTTAAAACTACAGGTCAGAATGACTTCATATTTGACCAGAATAATCCTGAGGCTATGGATTTTGCTTGGCATAAGGAAAAAAACAGTTCCAAAATTTGTCGATAGATGGCGCTGTCAGTGTTCACATTGCTGTTGTGAATGTATAGCCGAAGGAAACGTTAGACTCAAGGGTTTATGACAATTTTATTAGCGAAAAGACAAGGATACATATTTATGGAGAATGAAATAATCTCCAGCTTTTTTAGTACTCCAGTGGTTTCATCAATTTTATTATCGTTGTGCATAATTGATAGTAGGACAACACTTTTATCATTTGATAGATTTTCTAATTCCCTATCTAATTCAGTGTCTGCAACACTGTCTGTTGATGAATTACGATTGCTGCTGCATTCTTCATCTATTAATTCTTCCTCCACTTCGCTAAATGATTCATCATCTGTTGAATGGTTTCTAGCATATTTTTCAACCTTTCCATTTCTTTATCATAACTTAGATGCAGCGCCATACTGACTAACTAAGAAAGTAAGCATGAAAATCTGAGAGATGCGAGATGGCACATGGGTGTCACATACCCAAACGGTACAATTTCTAAAAAAGTATTCGAAGAATCACTCCATGGATTTCCCAGCTTCAAAAATGTCACCTTGAATTCAGCTACAAAAGGTTTCGCCCATTTCCAAGAAAGCGGTTTGGAGATAAGGACAAAGAATATGCCCTCGGTTATGAGATACCTGGCGTGCGTACTGGCGGGTTAAACCTTGTTCCCACTTCAAAATTTTATACATGATATACACAAATTCCTGTTTTTCTTATAAGCAGTAAAAAAATGCATATCAGTTCTGATTCTCCAAGTTTAATTTTACAACATGAGCAGACAATCCAACTCAAATATTTATTCATTGCTCAAGAAATAGACACATGTACGAGTAAAAATTTAACAATAAAAAAGGATAATTCAACTTATGTTCTCCTTTCTGAAGCAAAAGATATCAGAAGAAAATTACAGATTACTTTGCAAAAGGATTTGCATGGATAGTAACAGAATTAAGTCTTGTGTCTGTCAAAGGTCTATACGTTTTTGGATTCACAGGCAGTTTCTCCAGTTCATCTAAAGTCTCCAAACCATCTATAACCCTAACAATAAATAAATAAAAAGAGATATTTGCATTAAAAATCTAATAGCAAAACAGAAAAGATATAAAAATACATATTGCTAAAATTATGAATTAACATATATGAAATTAAAAGCAAAACAACTTCATACTTAGAGCATGAGATGAAAGTAGCAATAATTAGAAACCTTCAACTGCTGCCTATTACGATGCATTTGAACAATCATCAGAACTTTCCATACTTCAACACAGAAAAGTTCCAAAAACCCACATAATTTTTTTAATGTATATAATGGATCTTAACATTCCTCCTATAACTAAAAAACTACTGCAAAAAATGAATTTATGCTTGCTTAACATTCTACTTCATACAAAAAATGAAACAGAAAAATAATATAAAATATAAAACAAAATTATTAAACTTAGTTGGAATCAGACCTTATAACTCATAAGTTTTAATTAAACACATCCCCACTTCAAAGATAAGCACTGCATCATTTTGCATCACTCTTTCCCTGCAGTTTCTCTACACTGCAATATCTTTTAGCCCAGTTGTTGCTCAAGATTAAAATGAAATTACAAAAATTAATATGCCAAAGAATAAATGTGCTTTGCGTAAAGGAATAATGTAATGGCCTTTTCTAAAAGATAGTGTTGCGAACTGGATCCTAGAAAAGTGCCAGAATGGATTAATTATAACAAGAAACCATACACATTTATTTGCCTTATAAAGGCTAAAAAGAATGCAGATTTTAAACTGAAAACTTTGAAAAAACAAAAGTTTTGTAAAGGCTTCCAAAAAATTTGGATAATAAATTCATTAGTTTCCAGAACTATGTTATTGACCCATGAAGGCAAATAAGTATTTACTGTCACATGGAAATGTGGATGGAACTTCAAAAATATTTGATATGTGAAATAAAACAATTGATGGTTCACATAGAAACAACATAATGGTTCACATAAAAACAACAGGTCACAAAAAAGAACACACTTCACCATAGTGCTTTCCTGTTTAGTAGATGGTTCAAAATTAAAACTATGGTTATTTTTAAAGGAAAGACGCCGTCAAAATGCGATTTCAAAAGTGCTGTTTTCATTCATGTTCGTGAGAAGGGTTGGATGGACGAAAACGGTGTGAAATTATGGACAAGAAAGTTTGACAAAAGCGCCATTTTGCCTTAAAGTACCAGTACCCAGAAAGTCTTTTAATCTGGGACATGTTTGGATCACATCTAAAAGATAATACAAAGACATTATTAAAAGAGTGTAATACAAATAATACAGACATGGCAGTTATTAAAGGTAGATTAACACCATTATTCAGCCTTTAAATATGCGTATAAAAAAATTTTTAAAAAAGGAAAATTTAAAATGACAGTGGAATATGTGGATGTTAGAAGGTGGAAAAACATTTACAAATGCAGGTCAAATTCATCATGCCAGTTTGGAAATGGTGTGCGAGTTCATAATAAAAGCATGGAATGAAATTAAACCTGACATGATTCAAAAGTCATTTAAAAAGTGCAGCATATCTAACAATCTAGACAGAACAAGAGATCATTATCTATTTACACATTAGAGTAACAGTGATTGTGAAGATGAAACAGAATTCGATGATGTGCCTGAAGATATAACAAAAAAAAAAAAAATAAATAATAAAATAAAATAAAATATAAAAAAATAAATAAAATAATATAATAAATAAATAAAATAATGAGCTTTTTCTGTTATCCAATAATGAAAGTTTTAGTTTTCTGTTATCCAATAATGAAAAGTTGATAAGGTATGTCATTTCTTTTATATAAACAGCTCAGGTACATATAGAAATCTAATTTTTTTATGCTCATTTCTTAGTTATAAATCCATCATTTTTACACCTGCATATAATGCACATATGTTAATTTCGATCTTATTTTTTTAATTCAAATTCCATGTTATACGGCAGAATATACAGTATATATTGTATATTGTAGTAAAACAAAAATTAAAAAAATTAGAATGAAAAAGAAAAAAAATTTGAAGGTCCATTCTTATTTCTCCAGGTTACTGTAATTTTTGGTAGCTAAGCTGCCCTGGCGTATATCTCACACAAATGATAACTGACTGAAAAAAATAAAAGGTCCTCGAATAAGCCGCAGCGCTATATACGCAGCAGCAAAGCATCCTGAAACATGGCACTTAATATTCATTTATTCAGTAATTCCCTGCCATATTGATGTAATCATCATCGATAACATTTTATAACATTTACAACATAAATATAATCAGTAATTATATAAATAAATAAGGAAGAAACACCTTACCTTGAACTTGCTGAAAACAAACTCTGATGATTTCTAATAGATATTATTTTTACCGTTTCGGTAAATTTATCAGCATAAATCACCATATTATGAAAAAGAATATGTAAATTAGATAAACAGAATTAATATTAGAAATCTAATTAAATTAAACTACATTTATTTATACAAAACCTTCAAAATCCGACTCGCCGATGTCAGATTTAAATAAATATAACAAATGACCATGAAGGTCAATTTCATCATTCATTCTGTTCTAAATCACTTCTTTCAATGTCACTATCTTCACTTTCATTTTCTTTTTCAATGATTTCTGATTTAATGAAAGCCGACACGATCGTATCAGCTTGGACTGATTGCAATGCTTTATCGACCCATAAAGCAGCCTCCTCATATGAAGATTTTCTGATTAATCCTGAATTTGTGAAGTAATGGAGTCTGCTTTGCATCCATTCCTCCCACTGCTTTCATAGTTCATGCTTGAAAATTCTATTGATAGCGAGATCCAGCGGCTGTAAAATTTTTGTAAGTCCACCTGGTATCACCGAGACATCGGTGCTAAGTTTTTTTGCTTCAAATCTTACCATATCCGCTAAATGGGATAGCACTGAATCCAAAACAACAAGTCTTCGGGGTTGGGAAAAAGCACCTTTTTTTAATAAATTTCCATCAGCCAAAACCACGTCACTTCTTCACACATCAATCCCTTTTCATTGGTGCAAATAATAACTCCTTTAGGGAAGTTTATTTTCGGAATTGTTTTTCTTTTGAAAATTATCAAAAGGGTTAACTTCTCTCCATTAGCGGCACAATCCAAAAGACAAGTAAAAGAAGTCTTTTCATTCCCGGTGTTAACACCGAAATAGTTTTTTCACCTATTGAATGAGTAGTTCTGCTCGGAGAACAGTCAAAAGTAACGGGCACTTCATCTACATTAATTATTTGCCTATTCAAATTTTGCTCTTTAATTTTCTTAGATGTGTACTCCAAAAAAACCTATCTTTTTTTCAAGCCAGTCCATGGAAAGCTTTTGCCCAACTGTTGTTTTGGTCCTGACAGATAAGTTTTTTCACTTCATAAACCTGAAACAACAATTAGGTCCTCCAACAAGAATTTTAATGCCCATTTGTAGAACAATTACTTTGCCTGAAGGTGAATTCTAACTGTTGATGCTGATAATCCCCTTTTGATCTCCTCTATTGTCTATTTCTCTAAATCATCTTCCAAAACAGGCCAGGCTATGACACCATTTTGACAAGAACTTTGACATTCTTAGGCATTTTTCCTAATTCTTGTTCGGACTTCCACTACTGAATGCATCACTCGTCAACTTGAAATTCTTTACGATTTATAATTTCAAAGCGCGAATGATAAGGCAAACAAAAAGCAAGCTACAAAACAGTAAAAACATGTAAGAATGATCACAGAACTTGACAAGTAAACGTAGCTGTTTCTATTATAACAAAAAGTCATAGGAAAACATGGGTGAAACCAAGGAGGTTAGGAGAAAGTACACAGATTATGGTGTCTTTACAGAGAGTGCCACCTACCTTAGTTAGGCATGTTTGGACTTACTGCACTGCCTTAGGGCAATATGAGGTTAGAATACTGCAGCGAATACTTACCGTTTCGCTTCTGCATCACTTATGATCTGAACTAGTTAAGTTTTAAGGACAGAAAAAAAAATAAAATTCCCTCAGATACGCCGCTCCGGCAGATATGCCACAAACCTAAATTTTCAACTTTTAAGCACGTATAAGACGTGGCTTATCTACCCGAAATTACGATTGGTAAAATGCAAATTAAAGAAAATTACAAAATTGTAATAAAAAAATTTTCACTGCAAGAAGTAAAACTATATAAAATACAGGACATTTGTACATAAAAAAAAAATAATAAATAAATAAAAAAAAATTAAAATAAAATAAAAATTTAATACAAAAAGAAACATAGTAACAGGACAAGAATTAAAAACAAAAATTTTTTTAACCAGTCCTGTGCATAGCTGCAGGATTGAAGTAAGTTAAACTTAAAGCATCTAAAGTTAAAATTGAATTGGAATCAAAACAACCCCAACAATATTATTAATTCCAACCATGGAGAAGAGGTTTAACACCATATCAAAACAAATCAAAATTAAAATAACATAAATCATCAGTAGAACAAATCTGAAAAATAAAAATGCAAAAAGAAAATAATAATACAGTCAAAAGTCTTTAATCCGGACTCGTCGGGATTTCGGCGGTTCCGGATTATCGGTTTTTCCAGATTATAGATCATCAATTTAAATCTGGTAAGATAGCATGTAGGAATTATAAAATTAAAAAATATGAAACAGTAATTTATGAAATAAAGAGCAATCATGATCTAAAGGGTATCAAAATTTACAAAAAAAAAAATCTTAATATTTATTTGTTTACTTTATTAAACATTCCTTTCAATGCACGCATGCGTAAAGCATACATTACGCATAGTCGAAATTAGAAAATTGCAACCAGAAAACTATTTGATGCGTATTCGTGATATTTATAATGACGAGGAATTTTATTTAAATCATATCAAAGACGGAGTCCATTGAGATGAAATACTACATTTAGTAAGGAACTATAAACTGAATAAAATAAAAATATCTGCCCTGAAGATGAGGATAGTGCTGACAGATCAACTTCGAGTTCATTGCGCGCCGCGACGTTCTCCTTCCCCGCAGAGCAGCATGAAA